AATCCATATTGAAGGCTGCTCCCCTTGGTTTTCTGCAACAAGTGCTTCAAGTCCTTCTCATTTTCATCAAAGTTGTGTCATCTGCATAACACAGGCTATTGATGAATCTTCCTCTGATCTTGGTGCCACATTCTTCTTCAGCGAGTCCAGTTTATCAACTAATTTTCTCAGCACACAGATTAAATAGGTATGATGAGAGAATACAACCTTGACATACTTCCTTCTTAATTTTAAACCATAATGTGTTCCCTTGCTCTGTTTGCACAACATCCTCCTGATCTAGATACAGGGAACACTGAGGAAAGGTGTCTGTCAGGGTTGTATTCTCTTTCCATACCTATTCAGTCTGTATGCTGAGAAAATAATTTGAGAAGCTGAACTTTATGAAGAAGAGTTTAGCTTCAGGATTGGGAGAAGGCTTATCAGCAACCAGTGTTATGCAAGTGACACAACTTTGCTTGCTGCAAGTGAGGAGGACCTGAATGCTTTTGCTGCAGAGGATCAAGAACTGTAGCCTTCAAAACACAATACATCTCAACATCAAGAAAATGAAAAATGCTCAACACAGAGCCAAAAGGCAGCATCATGATAGAGGGGGAAAAGATTAAAATTGTCAACGATTTTTTTTCTTGCTTGGTTACACAGTCAAGATCCTTGGTATCAGCAGTCAGGACATTGGGAGACATATAGCATTGGCAAAGTTTTCTGTCAAGGATCTCTCCAAAGTCCTGAAGAGCAATTATGTGGGTTTATAGACTAAGGTGCACCTTATTCAAGCCAATCTTTCCAATAATCTACTATGATCTGAGAGCTGAACAGTGAATAAGTATGATAGGAGAAGAATCATGTATTTGATTTGTGATATTGCAGAAAGGTAATGAATATCCCGTGGACTGCCAAAAGAGCAAACAAACATGTCTTGGAGAAAGTGCAACCAGAATGTTCCTTGGATGTAAAGATGGTGAAGTTTTGTATTACATATTTTGGACATTTTGTTACGAGAAACTATTTCTTTGAAAGTGACATTATGCTTGGAAATGTGGAAGGTCATTAAAGTAAGGCTGGGACAGGATAGGACATAAATCAGATGAGGCTCTCACTAGAAAAGACAACTGCAGACCATATATTATTAAACTCAATCTAGTAACACAGAAAAAAAAACACACTGAAAAACCAAAAAACAAAACCAGCAACAGAACTGTAGGCAAATGAGTTTTGTCCCAGGAGTGCAACAATGGCTTGTATAAAAATTAAATGTTGTAATACTGTGAAGAACACGGAATAGCTCAAGGGTTGACAAAAGAACAAACACACGTCATGAAGAAAGTACAACTGGGGTACTGCTTAGAGGCAAGGCTGGTGATTTCGTTCTGTCTCATGTATTTTGGTCATGTTTTCAGGAGTGGTCAGTCTTTGGAGACAGACCTCATTACTTGGAAAGGTGGAGAATCAGTGAATGAGAAGAAGATCTTCAATATAATGGATCAATACAGTGATGGTAACAGTGTGTTCAAGTATATCAGAGATGATGAGGATGGCGCAGGATAAGACAAGTTTCAGATCCATTGTGCATAGGGTTTTTGTGATTCATAGTCAACTTGATGACAACTTAACAATACACCAGATGGCAGAATAAAGGAAGAAAACAGATAAATTTCAGTGGACACCACAAAAATAAATATGCACCAGGAACATTCAACAAAGCCCAACAACTTTTTACAATAAAAACAAGAAAATATACAAGTGCACACCTAGAGGATTCAAGGGATTTTTCCTTAGTCTGATAAAGGACATTTATAGGAAACCCACGTATTATGTGTGACAACACAATACGTCATGTGGATGAACTTCTAAAGTCATAGTAAAGACAAAATGTTAGCTCTGCTGTTTATAATTCAGTATCAGGATTGGAGGAAGACTCATCAACAATCTGCATTATGCAGGTGATACAACCATGCTTGCTGAAACTGAGGAGGACCTGAAGCATGTGCTGCAGAAGGTCAAGGACTCTAGCTCAATGGATTGAAGCTCAACATCAAGGAAATAGAGTCTAACAACTGGGCTGATTTGCAGCATCATGATAGATGGTGAAGAAACTGAGATTGTTAACAGCATTAGTTTGCTCGACTCCACAATCAACTCTCTTAGTACCAGGAGCACAGAAATCAAAAGACAGATTGCATTGGGAAAGTCTGCTGTCAGAGACCTCTCCAAAGTACTGAAGAGCAACAATGTCAGTCTGGAGCCTAAGGTGTGCCTGATCCAGGCCATAGACTTTGCAATTACTTGCTGTGCATCAGAAAGCTGCACAATGACTAGGGATGATAGGAGAATTGATGCCTTTGATCTGTGGTGCTGGAGAAGAATATTGAATATACCATGGACTGCTAGGAGAACAAAAAGGTTCGTCCTACAGAGGGTGAGAGCAGGCTGCTCCTTGGAGGCAAGGATTCTGAAGCTTCGTCTGACATACTTTGGAAATGTTTCAAGGAGTGACCAGTCCTTAGAGAGGGACATCATGCTTGGAAGAGTAGAGGGACAAAATAAGAGAGGAAGACCCTCGATGAGACAGATTGATTCAGTGACTGGGATAATGGCAGTGGGTGTGTGAGGGACATTAAGATTGATTCAGGATAGAGCAGGGTGTAGGGCTGTTGTACATAGGGTTGCTATGAGTCACAGGTGCCTCAACGGCACATAACAACAACAACATTATAATAGAGGTTCTACGCAGGGTAGTTGGGGAGGAGGAGGATAAAGAAAAGCATAGAAATTGGAAAGGAAAAAGTATCACTGATGACATTATAATGTTTATTAACAGTCTTAAAGATTTTACAAAAAAAAACCCCTGTTCAAATTCAAACTCACTTCTATCAAAGTGGAACCCTGTGGAGAATTTTCAGAGGCTATAAATTATGTGGGAAGAGATTGCCCATCTTCCTCCCTGGTAGCAGCTGGCAGATTGGAACCACACACCATTGGATTGGCAGCACAACTTGTTAACACCAGGCCACCAGAACTTCCTAAAAAAAAAGAAAAATTAAAAAGCTGTTAGACCGTGTATAAAACGGTACATTTCATTTGGAAAACTAAAACTATTATATAGAGTTAGCTGTAACTCAAAAATTTCAGTTCTAAGTCGATACTGAACAAAATGAAAGCATATATCCACACATGCACTTGTGCATGAATGTTTATTGTAGCATTATTCATAATAGACTACAACTTGAAAAAGTCCCGATGTCCATCAGCAGATGAATAGAAAATATGCTAGTTCCTAAAATGGACTGGTTTTTAGCTCTAAAATGAGTGTAGTCCTGCGGCTCCATGCAGTTGCTGCTGCTTTGGGAAAAAGTCGAGAAGTCGCCTTCAGTGCAATTTAGAGCTTCTCGGAACTCACTAGAGGATCAGCTGTGAGTTTGTTCACATTCAAAGGCAAAAAAAGGAGTGTTCTGACATGTGGTGTCACGTAGACTATTCTAGATATTAGTGTGCTAAGTGAGAGAAGTCAGGCATGAAAGACTACCTCTGGTAAGATCCTGTTTATCTGAAATGTCCAGAATAAGTAAATCTGTAGACACAGAAAGTAAATTAGTGGCTGGCAGTGGCTAGAGAGAGGGAGAGCTGGTAAATGGGTATTGGATTTCTGTTTAGGATGATAAAAATGTTCTGGCATCAAATAGTGGTGATGGTTAATTTTATCAATCTATTGAAGGCCACTAAAATGTATACTTAAAAGGGGAAAATTTGTATCATTCTGTACTGAGGGCGGAAAAAAAAATCTATGTCCCTCTAGTGAAAAAAAAAAAAAAAAGAATTCTCTTTACTTTTCAAAAGTTCTTTTCAAAATAGTATCTGAATGTGACATTCTTTTAGAACTTCTCCTGTTTTGACTCGTGGCAAACCTATAGGGCAGAGTAGAACTACCTGTTGGGTTCCCAAAGGTTTATTTAAATCCTTATGGACACATCTTTTCTCCTGCTGAATAATTGGGTTTAAACTGATGATGACCTTTGGCTAGCAGCTGATGCTTGATTCACTTGCCACCAGAACTCCTTACCCAGTTACCAAAAAAGAATTCCTTGCCATCTAGTTGACTCCGCCTCATAGAAACCCGCCCGTGATTTTGTGAGGTAGTCAATACTAACCAAAGTCCCTGCCGTGTCTTTTTCCACAGAGCAGCTGGTGGATTTGAGTCCGAGTTTACCCTAACACGCCCTCTTCCATCTTGGCTTCGTGCTCGTTCTTCAGGGTTACTTGAAAGCAATTCTTTTTCCCTTCACAGAAATCCAACAGTGAAGGAGAGGCTTTTGGTTAAAAGCACTGTTTACTGATTTTAAATTGGCTGTGCCCTTTTTCTGAGGCACTCTCTTAGATTGCCATGTTCAGTATTATCCACTGGTTTATAAGGCTGTTTTGATGTTTAGCACAATTAAAAGAGTCCAATTACTGTTTCATGAGTGATATTTGAAAGGTGGTATGTAGCCTTGTTATTTATTTGTTTGTTTGTTTATTTATTTAGCATATGAAGCAATTGAATTACTGAATTCTCACAGATGAGTCTTTATCAGAAGCAGGGTAAAATATGGCATATCTCCTTCTGGGTCAAAAACTTTATGGCTGAGCTCATGTGGGGGGAGTACAGTGGGCCATTGACAAAACTATACTTTGTGTGTTGTAGTATAAAAGAAGAAAAGAACTATTGAGCAAATTAACTATTTTGTTGTTACAAGCTACCCTTGAGTCAGCCTCCAAACTCTGACTCTTGGTAACTCCACTTAAAAGAAATACAACACTGCCCAGACCTGCAGGATCAATTGTGAATTAGACAGCTTACAGTCCATAGGGTTTTCGTTGGCTGACCTTTGAGAAGTCAGCCTGCAGACTATCCTCAGAGACATGAAGATTGTTGAGTGTCTAGTATGTGTGGTTGTTTTATTAATGGACTGTGGCATTTGTTGTTCCAAACTAGTCATGTATCCATTCTCTTTTCTTCCTAGGTGATCATGGAGGAAGCACCTTACTCCCACCTAATGTCACGAATGAATTTCCAGAATATGGGACCATGGAGGGAAGTGCAGAAGGCCTGAGGGCTTCAGTCGAGTTTGATGCGGACTCTCTGCCATGCTGCCCCCCAGGCCACCACGCTGGGCTCTACAGTGTCACGGAAGGACCAAAAGATGCTGGAGAGACCCCGTGCCAGAGCCACCTCAAGGAGCAAAGTTTACAAACCGCAGACTCATTGATTTCAGCTGTGAATGCCAGAGAAACCAGAGCAGCTTCAGGAACGTCACCGGCTACAAAGGTACCAGACAAAGAAGTGGTTTCTAGTTTGTCAGTTCAGCAAGTGGAAAAAGAAGTGGACACTGCCAGTCAGAAAGCACAGCGAGCCAAGAGTCGAAGCTGCACAATCCAAGAAAAATCATCAGATAGACCTCTTTCAGCTGCAGTCACAACTGAGGAGAATTATTATTTGAGTATCCAGAAGGATCAGACTGCACTGTTAACTGGAGACACTCAGCCAGACATTTCCCAGAAAGCAGATGATGGGAGAAGAGGGGCTTCCTGTGGGCAGGGGTTGCCCTCCGTTGCACAGAACCCATCATTGACCCATGTCTCTGTGGGCAGTGTTGGTTATTTGAGGGAAAGGAGGGCCGATGTGGGGAAAGGACATCCCGGAGGATGTGATCAAGGACGCCCAGGCAGGATCAAGCATGTGGGATTTCAGGGTGTGGACGTACTGTGTACAGGAGCGGAGACGAGAGACACAAGGCATCCTGTGGACTTGGCGGCATCATCAGAGAGGACAGCCTCCCCTGAAAGCAGAGAATTCTCCAGAGTGCCAAGCTGTGCCGTTTCATCTGCTGGTTTGGGTAATTCAGTTGGTTTATCTGCGAGTGCCTGGAATGAAACCTGGAAAGCTTCAGAAGCGCCTGGCCCCACCTCTGGAACATTTTCCCCTGTGCCTCCTGTTGAGAGTGGGGAAGACGAAGTCTTCCTGAAGGAAAGACCTGAGCTGGAAGGAGACAAGGACAGGTAAAGTCACAACAGCATCTACTATCTGTGATAGCCCACTTTCTAACCAGTACACATAATAGCTAAACTAATCTTACCCACTACCATCAAGTCAGAACCAGTTCATAGCTGACCCTTGAATGAAGTTTCAGAGACTATAAATAACATGGGGATAAATTGTACTTCTTTCTCCTTTGAAGCAGTTGGAGGATTTAAACTGCTTGACCTTGGATTGGCAGCACAAGTCCCACTAGGCTCCTGAGTTTCCTAGGACACATAATTGTTGTTGTTGTTAGGTGCCGTCGAGGAACACCTGAGCACTGTTCATACATAGAGTTTTCAGAGGCAAGCCATTTCAGAAGTGGATGCCGCTCCTGCTTCCAGGCTTGTTTTACTCGGGAAGCTCCAGCAAACACTGTCTACCATGGGTAACCATTACCACGTTTGGCACATCAGTGTCACAGTATTCAGCATCACAATAACCATGAGTTACCTCTGTACAGCAATGCACAGACCAGTGCTGTATCACCTAGATGAATGTTTGACAGGAAAACAATTTGAACCTGGCCTGAGGGCCGCAGATTAAAATCACCCACCTTCGGCTTGGTAGCATAACTTTCTGTTTCCTACGCCACCGTAGCTCTCTGTATGTCATCGTCGTTATTGTTGTTAGGTGCCATAGAAAACCCTAATGCTTTACTATGAGAACTCAGCATATTATAAACTGGATCCTTGTCTTTGGAGAAGACAAATGACTGTAAGTCAGTGATTGTTAGATTGTTGTTAAGTGCCCTCGAGTCATAAACACATCATAGTGACCCGATGAACAAAAGACCTGGACACTTATATAACTTTCATTGTTTCTCCAAGTTTAGGGTTCTGGAGGCAAGCTCTTTTGGAAGTGAATGTCACTCCTGTTTCCAAGCTTGTTTTAATCAGGGAGCTCCACCAAACACTGTCCACTATGGGTAAACATTATCACATTTGACATATAAGTGTTACAGTGTTTAGCATCACAGCAACCCCGAGTTACCTCTGTACAGCAAATGGACAGAGCAGTGCTGTACTACTTAGAAGAATGTTTGACCAAAAAACAGTGAAAATCAGGCCTGAGGGCCGCAGGCCTGAGAGCCCAATCGAATTTAAGAAGCAAGGAAAGGTTTAAACTCCATAAGCTCCATCATTCGACATTCCTCCATAATCAAACATTCACATTGGCTTTCACCACTCAAAAATGCTCATCTGGGAGCCTTCCGCTGCTTCCCCAATCTCCTCCTATTCTGATGCCACATGTTTCTTCATAGAGTCTAACTTCTTCAATTATTTGTTCAGCATATAGACTGGATACAAATGAGGAAAGGATACAGTCTTAATGCACATCTTCCTTGATTTTAATCCACTGTATATTCCCTTGCTTTGTTTAGATAACAGCTTCTTGATTTAGGTATAGGTTTCATGTTATTGTTGTTAATTGCCATCAGGTTGCTCACGACTTACAGCTACTCCATGAACAAAAGACCTGAGACCTTTCTGTAACTATCATTTCTCTAAGCTCATTGAATTTCCAGAGGAATGTGGTTTAGGAAGTGGATGCCACTCCTGCCTCCCAACCTGTCTTAAAACTGGGAGCTCCACCAAACACTGTTCACCCTGGGTAGCCATTATGGCATTTGAGACCCCAAAGGTAAAAGGTTCAGCATCACAGTAAACCCACATTATCTCAGCACAGCACATTGACAGAAGAGTGCTGTACGACTTAGAAGAATGTTCCTCCAAAATACAGTAACAAAGGATTAAAATATAATTCCTTGGACCCAACTTATTAAATATAAGGGCCCTTCAGAAGGTTTTGTTGACTCTAAGCAAGAGGGTTTACGTAAAACAAAACAAAACAACATTCCACAATGACCTCCGACCAAACAAGAGAGCCCGTCTTACAGAGTCCAGTTGCTTCACCCACTTTCCAAAATGGAGACAAGGGCTTGGCCATAAATGCGAGTATCCTCCTGGAGGTCTTTTAACTCTAAACAAGAGGCTTAAACAATGAAACAATCCACACAGGTCCTCAACCAAGACAAGAGCACCATTGTACAGAGTTGAGCCAAAGGAAGTCCAAAATGGAACACAAGGGCTTGGCAATATATATTGTTGTTGTTGTTAAGTGCCATCTAGTTCTGACCCCATAAACAAAAGACTTTATCCTTGTTCTATATCTATTGTCTTTTTTCTAAGTTCATAGAGTTTCCACAGCCATGTTTAGGAAGTGGATGCCACTCCTGCTTCCAAACCTGTCTTAATCTGTTAGCTAATCAGATATTGTCAACCATGTGTAGCCATTATGGCACTTGGCATCCCAAGTTCAAAATCACAGTTACCTCAATACAGAGAAATGACAGAATAGTGCTGCACCCTTTAGGAGTGTTCATTTCAAAAATAATGACAGGACTGCCCATGCTTCAGGTTCTTGTTGGTTCCCCGTAAGAGGCTTCCAGCCAGCCAGCCTAATACAAACCTGAGCCTTCCCATACCAATACAGAAAGAATTCTTAGATTAGAACCTTAAATTTCTTTTGACTTCTAGGTCTTTCTTACACTAGAAACTCAAGTTTCTAAAGTTGCCCATATGAATCCATTTCTAACATATTATATGTGACAGACTTAAAGCTTTCACTAAATACCAAGTTACTGAAAACTTTCCACAGTTATTTTTAATAATAGGAAACTATTTGGACTCTGAGGTTTCCTATGGTCATTGAATCTTAACTTTGGAATTCCTTTCAAGCACAGCACAGATTCCTACAGCCTCCAGAAGCCTGCACATGTGTGAAACATGAAGAAGTCCTGAATCTGGACCCAGTCAGCTGTGTATGTATAGAAAAGGGCATCTCAGAGGTTCAAAAAGAGAGTGTATTTTTTCCGTTGCTACATGGGAATCTTTTCTCACAAGTATGTATGTTGAGTTATAATCCTGGGAAATAATTCATAGCCTCATGTCATATAGCATCTCTGGTGGCCTACTTATAAGAAAACTGCATTGCAATCTGAAAGGCATGTGGTTCGAATCCACCAGCTGCTCTGCAGGTGAAGGACAGACATCTTATTTACTGTCTCTGAAAACCCACTGGAGGGTCAGCTGTGGGTCTCGATGATACGCAACAACAACAACAACAACAACAACAACAACAAGAAGTATCATACAGCATTTCCTTGCCCTCCTTACATTTCTGACATCCAGGCCAGTATAGAGGTTAAATGGGAGACCTGATCCATGTTCTGTTCCCTTGGCCACGATTTCTCAGTCTGACAGAAGGGTGCTCCTTTGACAAAGACATTTGTTGTGGATTGCCATTTTGAATCTGCACCGCCCTTTCCCCCTGGCATTTTATATGGGAGACCATCTGTGTCAAATGGGAAAGTTTGCTTTGTTATTTGGTACAGAGAAATGTCTTTCCACTACAGTTAATTTATAGACCCTAGCTCTCAGGACTGTGCCTCCCTGTGCTTACATAAAATCTCCAGACTTCTCCCAAAGCAGCTATGGCTTAGCACTCACGCTTCCACTGCAGTGTGCACTGTTACTGCCATGAGAGTACTGATTTGTTCCTCCTTTTCTCCTTCTCTTTTTAAATTCCACAGACATTTATATATTCCATAGTTGTATGCTTGGAGTGTGCATTCTGTCATCTGGTGGCACATGAGAGCATACATGGGTAGGAACTGAATCAGTAGTACCCAGCACCTGTGCTCTTGAGATTGTGGAACGCTAGATATTAAGTCATGGTCAAAACAGACATGGCCGCCGTCCTCAGGAAGTGTACTGCTGCTGAATGTAAACATTCATCACATAAACATCCTATACACAAACAGGACCGAAAAGTCTGGGTCTGTACCCGGAAGGTACAGAATGAAGCCATACTAGAAAGAATAGTTTGAGGAAACAAAGGAAGAGACTCATTTCTGTGAACAGCTTGGGGAATGCCTTTCTGTGGATGTAATAATAAAGCTGAAACTTGAGGAATGAGTTAGGGTTAGTGAGACAGGCAGAACATTTTAGGCAGAGTAGCGAGTTCAAATGATTGGAATCAGTGTACATGCTCCCTGGAGCTATATGAAGTCAAGGTCCCAATGCAGATTTGAAGAACTGAAGCTGCTAGCATGGTTGGAGCATAAGGAGCTAGGGGAAAGTGGTGCAGAGTGGGCCTCGAGGGGTCGGGTGGGCAGCAGGGGAGCAGCCAGCTGGACCCTGCTGATGCCTTCCCCTTTGATTCTTAGTGCAGTGGGCAACCATTAAGAGATAAATACTTAAACTAGTATTTAGTATAGATTTTTAATAATTTCAAAACAATAATAACGTGAATATTGGATCTAAATCCAGGTTATGCCAAAGAATACATAGACAGATTAGCAGGCAGGTCCTATTTTTATAGGGGTAGAATCTAGGGAACAGGTTAAGTTGTCTAAAATGAAAGAGCTAATAATAGATACAGATTCAGATCCACGTTATTTCAAGGCTGAAATCCTTGCTGATGTCAATGGCTTAGAGTTTTTTTGTGTTGATTTTTTGAAATTTCAATTTTACTTAACTATCAAATTTACAACATTGAAGCTTGAATAAGATGCTAGTTATTCTTTTTCCACATTAATGTACCAAAATTAATGACCTACCCCTGCATATTAATTTTCAGATTGTTTCTAGATTTTCACGAGTTCAGTGAAACTTGTGATAAACTTGTCCATGGGCCTTTTTATAGTAGGTTCGTTAACCCTTGTGGACTGGAGGTCTTGCTGCATTGTTGCATCCTGCCGGCAGAGGGCAGGCTTGGATTCTGATGTGGCCCTTCTTACCTGGGCAGTTGGTTTCATTTGAATCAGGAAAAAGGAGAAAAGCTTAGTGAATTTACTCTTTTAAGTTTACATAATACTTTTATCTGTTCTACTTAATAGTGATGGTAGTTGTCAATAATATGAAATTTTAGAGTTTAATTGTCTAAAATGAGAATTTTATATTTTACTCAGAATATTCTTTGGATGAAATGTATTTGCCTAGTGTTTTGCTCACCTTTAAAAGTCAAGGTGAATGCACAATATAAGACCTTGTGTGTTTGTTACGTGCACTCCTGGTGAAACTATAGTTTTGGCTTTTTCTTACTCTCATCTGTATTCATGTCCTGCCCCCAGTTGTCACCATGTTTCCTTGTCACTTAACATTTCTGTTTAACAGTAAAACTAGAGCCCCTCAGGGTCCCCTGCTGTGTCATTGCTTTGATTCGAGTGCTCTGGTGATCTGCTGTGACTTATTTGTATTCATTATTATTTCGTGGTGAAAATATTATTTCTGTTCTCCAAGTATTTCATAATTCAGATGTTGTATGTTTATTTAAAATGATGCATAATCTTCACTGGTTCAGGAACCATTAAAATGATCCAACAGTTCTAAAAAAAAAATGTATTTACCTATGAAGAAGCTGATGTGAAACGAAATAATTTCTAGTGTTGTATAGCAGTGTTGTATATGCTGGCTTTTTTCAACCACTTTGTTATTTCTCTCAGGTCTTCTTCCAAAAATATGTTAAGACTCAAGCCCACTGTTAGCTCTATAGAACGTTACTTTTTGGTAAAGTTGAAAGAGAAAAAAGAAAAAAATAGTCTACTATTGGAGTTCAGAACTCTCATTTCTTTTGCAGGGTTCCCGAGCAGGAGGAGCACACTAGACAAGGTGACGATGACACCCTGGGACCTGGGTATACAGAGGACTCCACTGATGTGTACAGCTCCCAGTTTGAAACCATTTTGGACAACACTTCTTTGTACTATAGCGCAGAATCACTGGAGACACTGTACTCAGAACCTGATAGCTATTTCAGCTTTGAAATGCCCCTCACACCAATGATACAGCAGCGCATTAAAGAAGGTGGCCAGTTCTTGGAGAGGACATCAGGGGGAGGACAGCAAGATGTTCTGAGTGTCTCAGCAGATGGCGGAATAGTGATGAGCTATTCTAGTGGGATCACCAATGGGCTGAATGACGCCAGTGACTCCGTCTATGGGAAAGGCACCCATGAAGTTGCTTACTGGGGAAGGTACTGGCTGCGTTCTCATTCATTTCATGGTGTTTATTTTTGTGGCGTTCTCTCTTTGGGAAGTCTGTGCATGGAATCTATGTTAAAGATATCTTACCAGTTTCTGTGGGTTTAAATAAATGATACGAACCAAAAAAATTTAGATTTTAGGGACAGGCAGGGTGTACTTAAAGGTTTGCCAATTTGGCAAGCTGCAATCATTTTATTTGGTGTCATTTCCTGGGTTGCTACATAGAAATTGTGTTCTGAATGATATTTCGGGGTGATGAGTAGATCCGCTCTGACAAATATGCTCCAGTAGAATTTTATATAACATTATTTTTATCATGGTTGAGCATATGCCCAGCAAATCCGAAGGCTGGTTCAGTAGTTTCTACATGTACCTTTCACGGACAGGTTATAGTCCTTGAGTTGTGGTAGCATTTTCATTCTCCTTTACTGAGTTGTTCTTCCTCTATTAACATGAATTCACTGCCTTCTAACATTACTGTCTAAGTGAATTTCTCCTGTCAGTTTATCCCATAGAGATAATTCTGAAAAGACCGAAATGTTCAAGGCAGACATTTTACTCGTCATATTATTGCTTGGTTTGAAGACTACTTCAGGGGTATTTGGGTTTAAGAATTTAAAAAAAAAAGCATTAACTATTTTCTCAGGGCAGTAATTTTAGGGATTCATCCATCTTTCATGGCCCTGTGATCTGGAATCTATGAGAACTTGGAATTTTGTTGTCATTTTGCCCTGTTTGGTTAGGATTCTTTTATAATTTTGATCATAATGTTTAGTAAGGATAACCAGGTAGCATCCGTTCTAGCTTTGTAGTAAAGGAGTCAGTTGTTGATGCAGGCTATTAGCCCCAGATTCCATATGTTCCTCCTCTTCTTGACTCTGCTTCTTCCACTGCTGTTCCAGGTGAAGAGAGACCAATTTGTGTGCTTTGATGACTCTTGTAAGCTTTTAAAGGTTCTACAGACTCCTCACTGAACCAGAGTTCTATCTCATAAGGGATATGAGTCATTGAAAATGGCAGTTAACTGGGAACTCTTATAAACCATTACCCTAAACCTCCAAATCAAGAAACCAATTACTGTGAGATTTTTGACTGTAGATGCACTGTAATTTTGATGACCTTGCTATGGTACTGTGAGGAGGTCATTTAAATTTGTCCCTTTAGCTCTGGTACTGATACTGGTTAATGAGCTGGAGTAGCTTGTTCCTTAATTGTACATTGAGCATGCCAGACTCCACACGTGGTCACCAGAGTCACTTGTAGCTCTTTGCTTTACGATATCCTGTCTGTCCAGATGCCTTCCTGTTGCTGGGATTGTGGAGGAAGGATAGGATTATACTGATGCTTAATTGGATTGCTACTTTGATCAAATCTATGCATATTCCCTCTCTAATTTAGGATTTATGTCTACCTGGGAGATAAAATGGCAAATTATAAAGGTTACACATGGCTGACCTATCATTCCCAGATTCCCTATCTGATAGGGATTTTCAAGCATTTAATGACTTTCTGCTTGTCATCCTTAGGCCATAGAGTGGCCCTTTACATCTCCTTTTGGTGGGCTCAGAGTGCTAAACAGAAAGATTGAATGTGATGGTGTTGTCGTCATTGTGTATCATTGAGTTGGAACAGACCTTTGGCAGGTTTTCAGAGGCTGTTAATCACAGGGGAGGAGATTGCACATCCTTCTCCCATGGAGCAGCTGGTGGATTCAAACCACGTGCTTGTGGGATTATAGGGCAGCTTCTTGCCACTAGGCCAATGCATTGACCTTTCATCAATTGTTCGTGGATTAAGAGTGAGTGTGTATATGTGTAATGCTTTCTGGTGTTCCTGTGGTTAAAGCATTCAGTTGCTGGCCGTAATGTTGATGGCACTGTCGGAGGAGGGTGTGGCTGTCTGCCTCCGTAAAGAGGTACAGCCTTGAAATCCATCTGGGGCAATTCTGCTCTGGCCTTCTGAGTTGCTGTGAGTCACAATTGACTCGGTAGCAGTGGAGTTTTGTATGTATGTTAAAGGGGGACAAACTATTTTAAAACTGTATGGGGAAATAAAATCTAGTTTTTTGAATGTCAGTATTCGTAGTCCAGACCTCCAGAGGCCCTTTGTTTAGCACTCCCTCCTGTGTTACAGGTTCATAGGTCATTGGTTCAGCAAATGCAAGTCCGGCACTTAGTAACATTTTAGCTATGCAGTTGCAGGTGAAATGGTCTTTCTTATTGGGTCACAGTGAGATAATGAATATGTTTCTTGAAAGTAGAAACCTTAGAGGCAAGCCACTGATTTTCTGTGATGAAACTAATTTTCTTTACCAAATGAGGTTAATGATATTCAGTGCTCTGTGTGATGGTGAGACTTACAAAGTCCTCTCCCTCATCAGTTTTAATGCAGTTTACATTATTTATCTCATCTTTCTCAACTGTTTAAAAGGGATATGTGATTAGGTATTATTGTCATGACAGGAGTCCAGAATGAAGGCTGCATAGGGGAGTGGACTTGTGGGGAGGGATTGTAAAACAATGAAAGACTTTTTCTCTTACTTTTCAAAGACAAGAGCAAACTGGTTGGGGGGGGGAAGGGTGGGCATGGAGAAAAGGGAAACAATGAATGAATAGAAATCCAAAGTCTCTGTAAATTTTCATGAAAATTAATAATAATAATAATAAAATAAGTTAATGTAGTACAAAGACTGGTGCAAAGTAGGAGCATAAGCAAATGTTTGAATCTGGGTTGATTTGCATATAGGTCCACCTTTAGATTTCCTGTCACTGAGAAAAAGATGCCTCTTTAATCTTGTGTCATTCTGGAGACTAAGGTGCATCTGAATACAGGCCATGGTCTTTGCAATCACTTGTTATGCGTCAGAGAGCTGGACAGTGACTAGGGAGGATAGAAGGAGAATTGATGCCTTTGAGCTGTGGTGCTGGAAAAGAGTATTGAGGGTACCATCGACTGCCAAGGAAACAAACAGATTCATCCTGGAGAGTGTTAAACCAGGCTGCCCCTTGGAGGAAAGAATTCTGGGGCTTCGTCTGACATATTTTCGAAATGTTGTAAGGAGGGACAGGTCCTTGGAGAGGGATATCATGCTTGGTAGGGTGGAGGGACGGTGCAGGAGGGGAAGACCCTCTATGAGGTGGATTGATTCAGTGACTGGGGTAATCGGGATGGGTGTGTCAGAAACAGTGAGATTGGCACAGGATAGATCAGGGCTTAGGGCTGTTGTACATAGGGTCGCTATGAGTCGCAAGCAGCTTGATGGCACATAACAACAACAACAACAAAACCATAAACTGTTAGAAAATGCTACAAGACAGGCATGCAGATAGCTTTATTGAAATTCAAACCCAACTTTCTGGAGTGAGTAGAAGCTGTTTATATTATAAAAAATGAGTTTGAGAGGTTTTGGGGGTGGGGCGGCAGAAGCTGCTGGGAGCCAGTGTAAACGAAATGATGACTATATGAGAGTCAGTTCAGGAAGGAACTGGGTGAAAGATTTATGAAATGCATGGTTTGCAGGCTTACAATCTTTATCTTACTGTCATTGAGTCAGAACCCTTTCATCCCTGACCATCCATCGGGTTTTTAAGTGTGTACATTGCACAAGAAGAGATTGTGTCATCTTACTATTGCTGGTGGATTTGAACCGTCAGCAAGGTGTGGCCTTTGGGTTAGCAGTGCAAACAAAACTCATTGTTGGAGCCAGAATGGGTGTGCATAATTAGCATATATGAAAACAAACCTCCCTTAACCACTTGGCTTCAAGTAGCTTCTGACTCACTAGACTCCCTGTGTGGTAGAGGAGAACTGTGTTCTCCAGGTTTCCAGTGGCTGGGAGCTTTCAGAAGTGCGTCTCCAGGATCCTCTGCCAAGGAGCTTCTGAATGGATCCAAACCACCAAACTGCTGGTTAGTAGCGGAGCCCTTGACCATTGGAGACACCCAGGAGTTCTTTTAGCATTAATTCAGTTAGAGTTATATATAGCTTAAAGAAAGTATTGAAATGGGCTATAGTATTTTTAGCATTTTAGAATTAAATAGTGGTGTACTTCAACTGTCTGGAGACCGAAGTTTCAGCTGTGTCATCTGCATTGTCAAACCAGAGAAGCTGCCTAGTGATAAAAGCCCAAGTTCAAGAATGGGAAGTGTCTTAGAGGTTAGCCAGCCTGACAGCTTAACTGATTGTCGAATTCTTCGTTCTTGATCCATAACTGGTGCACCTTCTGCCCTTCTTGGAGCTAATTCAAGAAGATGTGTGTGGCATAACCTGTTTATGTTTGCTGTGGGTTTTCATGAAAAATCATAAGCACTTATGGATGAAGGAAGTTTTATTTTCTGATGTATATTTATAACCCACAGGAAAAGTCCATGGCCGCCATGCCCCTTTTCCCTCCCTCCCATCTGGTTTCCTAGGCAGTACAGCTTCCGGGAGGAGACAGCCTCATCATCATCCTACTGAGCGCTTGGTGGATTCCAATTATCAACCTTCTAGCTAACAGCTCAGTACTTTGGACACTGCACCACCAGGGTGTCTTGGTCGACATTCAGGATTAAAAAAACTTAAGTCAGGACTTGGTGTTCCTAAAAAAATCAAATGACAGTAAATCATCTTCATATTTTTTCTACCCACTTTGCCTTGCTTGGTGCCTGAGAGACATTGCGGCCACGGTTAGATTCTGTTAGTATGGTGAGCTGGAGATTTGTGACATTTTTGAGCTTAAAGGAGGCCTTAGGTAACCTTGTTTTATAATAAAAGATCAGAGTCCCAGTTTAGTAGGTGAATCACCTGACTCCACATGGCTTTCTAGTGACAGATCCTGTACTGGATTTCAAGTCGTCTTACTCTCAGGATCAGGTGCCCCAGTGTTGCAGGCTACCTGGTCTCAATCACCTCCACTCATTTCATCTCCAAGCTCTCATTGGTCTGTTCAGCCCAAAGTCTTGGAGGTGGTCCGTTTTCATGAAACTAAGCTCTAAATGGAGGAGTGGCT